GCATGCATTATATTATAATACTGTGCTGAGAACATGCATTCTGTATACTGTATGAATAAAATTATAGTTTACAAACAAATTAAGAGCACAGTGACACTTCCAGTGTCTCTTTTTTCTTTCTGTTGTAGATATTATGAGCTTTCAGAGGATCAAAGTGCCAAAAAAGCTCCCTTATAACCCTCCGAATCCATCACCTCTGCCTATAGAGTCACTATGCATTTTACTGTCAGAAATGAGCAGCTTCTACATTTAGACACACAAAGCCTGTACGGTTGTGGAAGAATGAACAGTGTTTTCTTCTGCCTTGCACATACTTTGTTGAATGACCATCACATTACAGCTCAAGAATCTTTAATCCTGGTGGAAGCGTATGCCAAAGAATGGATTTCGATTTTCCAGATTCTCTCATTTCAGTGCTTACAATACTAATATTTAGTGGAATTAGCTAGGTTTTGCTAAGCTGAGCATGAGAGTCATGCTTTCTCTCTTTCACACGTACATGTAGATAAAGAACTTTAGTGAGTGCGGTTCATGGAGCAAAGAAGTCTTGGTGATGGTCTTCTGACATAGATGTCCTCTTTGCTTGCCTTCTGCCTACTTCTGAGTTACATTAGTTTCTTGAGGTAGATGGGAAGCCATGTGCAGACTATATGTATCTACAGGACCTGTGGTCCTCATGGAGCAGCGTCACTATAGAGTCCCTCAGCTAAGGTATGGTCTTAGAGCAGAGTCTTCATCCTGGGTGATCCTGAGGAGAGTAGATATAAAATGTTTCACTTTTCTTCTGACTCTCACAATTCTTTCTGAAGCTCTTTTCCACCTACCAGCTTGGGCAGCACGCACTCCAACCCATCCAGAGCACACTGTTTTGCAGAATAGCTAGGTAACGTGTCTGGAGGACCCAGGGAGAGACACAGAGTCCACTGGGCTCATTGTGTGCTGGGTATGGAAGCTATTGAATAGCAGTGTTCAGGAAGCTTTCTGCTAACAACCAACTGTGAATATTCATGACAAGAAATTCAACTCTCGCATTATCTGAAGCCATTGATGTAAGCGCTGACACTGACATTGTGCCTTAGCACTGTGTTATCTTTAATGTATTTATCCTGTGAGATCAGAGAATTAGGATTATGTAGTTCATAAAGGAAAGAAATGCATGCGACGTTGATTGAGCTAGTGTCAGTTATAACGAAAATTAATCTGTTCTCCTTTTTCATTATACTGTTAGTAAACAAAAAACTAAAGCAGCTTCTCAGCGCTGGGTTTCCCATGGTGAAAACAGATCCAGCAGGGCAGACACCCCGGAATTCATGTGGTCGCAGCCGGGACTCCCTGTGCATGTGAGGGGACTTTAGATACTTACGACCAATTGTGCATCTCCAAGGATTAAGCCCGAGTTGTCCTTTATAGTTTTGGAAGATTTTTTTACAGAGGCCTCAATAGATTCTTGAGTGAGAGTCTGGAGACTGAGAATCGGTTCCAAGGCCCGGTAACATGTTTAATTGTTGACCCTGTTACTCTTTTCTGAAATGGTGAGGGGTTTTTTACATTTGTAAAGATAAATACATTATGTTTGGATATTCCACTGAAGGGTGCAATGTGTACGCCTGTAACACAGCCCGGTTTGCTGCTGCGTGGTCAAGGGCCAGTTGTTAAGTGGCAGTACTCTGTAGGACTGAGCCTTGCCAACTTTTACTAGGACCAAATTCTTTGCCACAAAATCTGTGACATAATGTATGCCATTGGTGGAACTAATTTGGCCTACATAATTTGTTATAACTGGAGAGCTCTAAATGATTTAACCAAAAGGTTGAACCACCACTACAGTGGACATTTAGACAAGCAGAATATGTTATATATAGGGCAGAATTCACATTCCTACAGTTCTTCAGGCGGTCTGGCGAGTAACTAGATGTCTTTGGTCTCCAGCACTGCAAATGACCTGCTGTTTGGCTGAATTCCATTAAAATTTGTGCAAAAAATTTAAACTGGGAGGGTATGGGAAGGTGTGAGTGTCTGGAAAGACCAAGGCAAGCAGGGCTTGCCCAGGGCCACCAGTCACACTCAAGTAAACAAAACAGTTTCACCTAAAGATTGTGTAGCAGTGAAGGAAGCAATGTGAAGTAGTCTGGCAAGTAAGGCCAGGATCTAGCTCAAGAGGAGAACAATAACAGTAGAGGTAAGAAACTGCACAACTACTGAGAGCAGTGCTTGCAGAGCCAGCAAAGACGCCAGTTAATTCCCGGACAGTTTCAGTTGTTGTGCTACAGTCTTGTAAAACAGGGTGCATGATGTGATTTACAGGAGGGGTATGTGGTGTATAGGAGGGGTACGTGATGCAAAAGAATGATAGAGAATTCCACAAAGGTTAAGCATAAAACAAAGGACTGACTGTCAGAGGCCTCAGACAAGAATGTAACAAGCACATCTAAAGGAGGTACAGATAAACCATCAGACACCAAGATCTGGAGGAATCCACAAACTTCTCAGTGAGACAACTCATGACTGTATATGGGAGGAAAGTTTCAGAATTCATGGTAAGGACACCAAGAAGTATCACTTCTACAGCCACCAGGGACCACCAGAGACCATCGAGGACCCCGTGGAAGCCCCACAGAGACCCAGGCTGCATGCATAATGACTATGCAAATGTGATAATTAGTTCCAGGAAATAGAATAAATATGTATGAACATTCCGGGAAACTTAATGCACATCCATGTAGCAGGGTTATATAAACTTGGGGTGAGGTGACATACGGCATGCACGTTAAGAGGAGCGATCCCCCATGCATCTGGCTCTGTAATAAAGAATGCCTGCTTTTTAATGCTACATTGGTATTAAGAAGTTTTACTCCCGATTTCAGTGACAACAGAACTCAATGACAAAGGATTTTGCAAAGAGTGGTCTGAATTAAAAGGCAGTTGAATAATTTGATATCTGTGTTTTAAAACTTGCACGTGTTTGTGTGTAAGGTAAGGGAATAGCTGACAACTGCATCTTGTAAGAGTCTGAGCGCTGATCTTCTGTTGGGTTCAGGGAAGAGCTCTGAGGAAGTCCAAGTTGAATGAGGTCACTTTATTGTTTAAATGAGCAGTTTTAATTAAAATCTATATATTTTTGTCTGAGTGAAGCTAGCCTGGTTAGGTATTTAAAACCATTGTACGTCTTTGCAGAGCTGTCAGAATGGGTGCTTCAGGTTAATGTTAAATATTGACACTTTTAGAACAATGCTACACAGCAGATGTAGTCCCAACATGTGATGTCAACATTACAAAGCAGAATGAATGAAATGGAAGCAGCTCTGGAGCACCCTGGTGTGACATTCTCATTAGCTCCTAATCCGTAAGGCAGGAGAATAGCCCGACTATACTGAGTACAATACGGATAGTTGGCCTAATGTCTTTGGTGGGTTAGCATTCATAAAAAAACTACTGAATTCAATTCTCTTTCTGAAGAACAAGGAAAAGGAGCTGCAGAAAATCATGGCCTGGTATAGGCACACAGACACTGGGGACACTTCCATCTCTTTCTTCAAGTTAAGGAAAACACTGAATTTTAGCTATATTGTAATGGTTTTCAATACAGTATGCTACTCATATTGCAAGTATACATTCTATGTTACCTATATTCCTCACTGATTTTTTTTTCTGTAGAAAACAATTCCATTGAAGTAATTTTTTTGCTTTTACCTGAATGAAGACTTCAGAATTTAGCTGTGGGATTTTTAAATATGCTGTTCTCATTCCCTAAGGCCTTTCTCCAGTATTGGTGCAGAGTCTGCACCCCACCATGCAATTTCATAATGCTTGTTTGTGACAGGCATATCAAACCATCCAGTTAGTTTAGAACTGAGGTGAGAGAGTGCTTTAAATGTAAATTTTACTATAAACAGCGGAATAAAATCTTGCAGGCACTTCCTAGCTCTGCCAGGAAGCAAAGCTATATTTAACTCATTTTAAAATTCATCAAATACATTCTGGGCTGATTCAGATCTTCGGTGTGTCTTTGAAGATAACATGTAGTGGAAGTGTCATACAGTCAGTTGTGGGACTGGGCACATTCTGAGATTCTTGTCAGTGAAGACACGCAGTTAGGACTGGATTGTAGAAAGAAAAGTACATATACATCTGACAACTTAATATTGATGCTTTATTTGAAGATTTGAACAATATCTGTTCCATTCAGTTCAAGAGCTTTTTAAGAAGTGCTGTATATAAAGAGTTTAGTGCCATACCAGTGGAAAAATTCACATGCACGCATGAATTTTAAAGAAGATTGTCTTGTAGTGCTTGAGAGAGACAGTATTTTAGAGAAGGTAATACAAAGTGTTGCTATAATAATAGCTTGCAGAAGTTTCAAGATGCATAGAAAAGATCCCTGGATATTAAGAATAAGCCATAAGAATTTAGCTAGGTATTCTGTGTCCAAAAGGAGAAACTCTCAGATATATCTAGATATATCTTCCTCTTCCTTTGTTTCTCCTGTCTCGGATTGCATCTCCCTGGAGCTTTGTATCCCTGTAAATTCAACTGCTGTTATTGATAGGGTTGAACACAGACTGGAATAAACCTGTCAAATTTCATGCTTCGTTTTTTTGTAGGTGCGATTAGATAAGACCAATAAGATTCTAAAAGATTGTTTAGACTGGTTTTGTATCTGTAACCACTATATATACATATATATATGCTGCTGTCGTGTCTCTACTGTACAAATAGGAGTCTCTCAGTTTTAGAAGCCATGTGAACAATCTGAATCTATCAGCAAGATGATTGCTGTTGCCTATATTCAGATATGACCTGACTTTGAAGTTCAAGTTTATGATTTTTAATAGCTAGGTAATTCCTACCATTGCCTAAAATCCTTAATTGAAAGAAATAATAGGCTGTACACTAACCAACAAACTCTGAATAGGAAGTTGAAACAGTGTTGTGCTTCTAAAGTAGTTTTATGCGTCTTGCTTGTGGTTTTCTAATGTGCATTTGCCTTTGATTTGTTCTAGTACATGACTGCTGCTGCACCTATGCAAGGGACCTACATTCCCCAGTACACTCCTGTGCCTCCAACAGCTGTCCCTATTGAAGTAAGTTTATCTCCATCCATGAAAGTAGAGTGAAGGGGTAGCAGAACTCTTCTCTATTATGTCTCCTTGCACCTGTTGTTTGAAAGGGGCCTGAAGCTGCTTTGTGGAATGGTGGCTGGAAGCTTCCAGCTTTTAAAATTAGGACTGCACATTCCTTTCTCCTTCTCTTTTCTTTCTTTCTTTTTCCTTCTTTTTTTTCTCTCCCCCCGCCCCCCCCTTTTTTTATTTTTATTATTTGCAAGGGCTCTTGTTTTGCATTTGTTTTGTTGTGCAGCAGGACATGGAAGAAAACATCAGTGATTATGACTATTTTTTCCCCATGTACTTGGGAGGGAGATGGGAACTGACAGGAAAACAAACCCAGCAGGCAGACCACAAACCCAAAAGAGATTCCAAGAAGAGAAGGCTGCAAAAGGGTTTGATGTGGTCGTTAGCAAGTATAGGTAATTGCTGAAACATTTAGCCACCAGAAAAGGTGATTGAGCAACGGAAACCTTCCTCTTGTATATACAGACATGGAGGATGCTGCACTGACTGAGTGCTTTTCATCCTTGAGGAAGGATTCGCTCCCTCCCTCCTTGGGGCTGAGTCATGCTGATGACAGTCTAATGAGTAAGTATTTACTCACCCCTGTAGACCACAAGCTGCCGGGAGAGTGTCAGCTTGGCCTCTACTTCTGTGAAGCTTCATAAAAGCCGCTGAGCACAGCAAGAGGAGGGAGCCTTGGCATCCTCTTCCCTGTGTGTTCCCTTTGGTGCTACCTTCTTTTATTAATAACTTCTCCCCTACTCTGGAGTAATGCAAGGAGTGCCAGGGTCTTTGCATATCTGTCTTCGGCTGTGTGGACTTTGGAGTTTGTGCTATTACTGCTCTGTGCTTTGAGGGTGCTGAGTTCGTTGTACTGCTGGCATGGCTCCACCAGCAGTCAAGTGGACTCATGCTGGTTTCTCCAAAGAACTCTGCTGGTTCTTTGCAATTACTGAGATTCCGAAATGAGGTCCCACGGGAAAGGCTGCTACTGTTATGTCATACCGAGCTGGTCATGTTTTAGTCTTTTTTGCCTTGGGATAATTTTGCCCTAAACCTTGTTTGTTTACAGACAGGCCATATGGGTGCATCTTTTCAATTGCCATTCTTAGGTATTAAACTGGGCAGATACAAATCCAGATTAAAAGGAAATGGTGGGATGGAGAGTGGCTCATACAGCAGTACTGGCTGCACACTGTGCTGACCAGTGCGAATGAGAAACTAAGTTAATTCCTCCTGAGCCCTCCTCCCCATCACCCGCTGGTATATTCATGCTCGATAATGTAACATGATGTCGTGATTATCTACTGTGATAATCTAAATGCTATCTGAGTATATAGCCTGTCTTGCTGTGATCCAGTGATGATGAATATTGGTAACGTTTATCTGGATTCCTGTCGCATCATGAATGGAGGCCCTACTATACTGGATGCTCCACAAGCAGAGATCAAAAAATACAGTCTCTGCCCCAGAGAGCTTACAATCTCAAATTGAGACGGACAAAAAAAGAAGGATAAAGACAAGGAACTAGATGGGACAAGATATTACTGAGAGTCTGCTAAGCAATAGATATGAAGAATTTCTGAAAAATGGAACTGATATTTTTAACAGATAATTTAAAATAAACTACCTGTTGTTTACACAGGACTCAAATAAAAACAAAGAAAGTGCTTTGTGCTCCCTCTTCTGGCTCTGTTGTGTGCAATACAGTAATACAGCGTTTTCCCTGAAGAGACCTGCTAGTGTTGTTCATGTGACCAACACACCAGGCATGAGAGTAAAGGAAAAATATAGCTTACTTTGAAAGTGTACAAAAATAGTAGAACATAATATTGTGCAGACTAAGTAGGACAAGAAATAGTGCATAATGTTAAATTCATACATGTCATCTTTTGTGTGTTTACTTAGTTATCTTTTTGCAAACATATAAATATAACTTCATTGGAGCTTTGACTTAACAGATAGTCTTCAGTGTGAAGTAAATTTATTTTTGCAGGGAACATGCATAAAAGCAGCATGTAGAGGGGAACATGCATCAAAGCAGCATATAGAGGAGTGCAGCATTTCTCTAAGGCAGCTAAAATTCTATTGGATGTGTAGTAAAGCAGAGGACAGTGGGTCTAGATTCTGCCTTTATCGCATTGTAAAGCAAACAAATTAAATGTGAACTCACTGTAAAGTTGAGGTAGAGAAGTGAAAATCAGAAGAGCCATACATATGTTGTAAAAAAAGCAAGAGGTGAAATCCAGACTCCACTGGTCAGAAGTTTTGCCTCTGGCTTTGGATGGGCAGGGAACTGCCCTCAAAGGTGGAGGTGTTTTCCACTGCAGCCTGTGAGAGCAAAGCACTACAGAGGCTGGTACACTAAGGAAGCTTCTTCTTGCTGGATTAGCTCTCTAAAACTCATGGATTTTGTTGTGTTAGCATGTGGTTCTGCTATCTCAAACTCTTTCGACCTCTAGAGAAATAGAGGGATGGTGAGCAGGTGCTGAGCTCTTTTATGTAATTCACTGCAGTGAGTAAAATTAGTAAGTTTTTTGTGTTCTCATTTGATTACTTAGGGCGTTGTTGCTGATACTTCTCCACAGACAGTAGCATCTTCATCACAGGAAGCCAGTGGTCAACAGCAACAGATGACAGTGGAAACATCCAGTGAACATGCACCTGCATATTCTTACCAACAGTCTAAGTAAGTAGGCATACGCTTTGTAACCAGAAGGTTTTGTTTCTTGATTATAGTGGGCCAAATTCTGCTACACATTTCAGCAATATAAATTCTGAACAGCTTTAAGTTCAGATGAATTCTGGATGTATAGCAGTGCAATTAGCAAAAGGTTGTGGCTGATGGCCTCACCTTGGCAAAATGTCCTTGAGTTCCTGCCTGCAATGATATGCTCTCTAACTGTCTGCTGCTTTTCTGGACTCAGAAGGATCTCGACAGCTGCATTAACAATCATCATGCTGGGCTAAAGCAGCATCTGACATCAGAGGTTAAAAAGAGGGCTAAAATTTTGCAGTGATGAGAATACTGACACGGTACACATGTAAAAGTTTCTTTCTGAAAGTGTAGCTAGTGAAGTAGTATAAATTGCCCCAAGTTGGTATTTGTGATTGTGCAAAACTGGTGCCATGCAGACACTGAGTGGGCAGGAACTGGCAATGGACGAAGAAGGAGTAAGAAAGAGATGAGGAGAAGCAATGCTCTGTCTTTCTCCTGTCCTCTGCTCCCTTTATTTGCTTCCCACAGAATACCTTGAAAAATTCAGAATTTGTACACTGACAGCTGGACCTAGAACTCCTAAATAATAAGAATAATCCTCAAATACTCCTTCTCTTTGTCACAATAAAACTGGTCCTCACGAAGGGAAGGTTATTTACTGACAGGGTACTCACCGGGACCGATCAGTGTTGGACAGATTCTAGAATGGAGCCCAAACCCAGTCCTTGATTAATACATGTATATTGAACACCAGCATTACTGTGAAAAGAGAATTACACATTTTTTATCTTTGGGGAAGGAAGTAGACAAATAGACAAGAAATACATTAGGTATGTCAGTCAGTGCATCATGACATAGTACTTACAGAGGCATAAGATATAAGCTGGTATAGGAAAGATTAGAATTGTACCAATCTGTCAATTGCTTCATTTTTGACCTCTGAAAGTGGAAGATGCCATTATTTGTGTAACATATGAGTAACATATGGTTTCAGATCACACAGTGTCCCTTTTTGACTGCCATAAAATGTAAGACCACACTATTTCTTATGTCATGCCCATATTTGTCTATATGTACATACTACAAAAGCAATTTATCACAAGCTTTTTGTTGATGCACCCAGTCAGAGACACAGTCTATGCATGCGTATCCCTTCTAGCCCTCAGTCTCTCTAGCACCTGTAAATAAATGATGGCAAAATACATATAGAATATAGTGGGGGAAGAGAGAAATGTGTGTGACCATGCGTCCTGTTGGCTTGTTTTGATGACTGTGTTCTGTAGGAGCTTGGATCTGACCATCCCCGTGTTCCAGTTCCCTTTCGCTTAAGTCTCAAAGCAGGAGGACTTAGGTTCCGAAGCCCTCATAAGGTAGCTGTGAGCAGTGGATTCTGGCATATTTCCCACATAAGAGGAAACCACATTGCAGTTCTTTATTGAAGTGGGTGCTGTGTTTCTTGCCAGTGTGGTGAATTCACACCTTCTCCAAGTATGAGATCCCTCATCTTTCCTTGTCAGCTATTGCCTTTTTGCAATGATGGATACACATCTAATGGCACTGGCATTTATGGTCAGAGGATTTTCTTTCTTTTTTAACGACACAGGCAGATTCACTACAGATTTTTTGTTATGATTATTTCAGTGTTTTTTTTCTGAAATGTGTCCTCTATTTATATCTACCAGTTGCAGGCAGAAATGCAAAGTGTGGGAAGCTGTAGGAACAAACCAAAATACACACAGTCTCTGTCTTAAAAAAACAACTTCTGCCAGAGTATTTCAGTAACCTTTAATATAAAACCAAGTGAAGTTATTTTGTAATTAAAAGACGATTTTATTAAGCTACTCTTTGAAGGGCACATTTGTTAAAAGCAAGCATCATGACCAATGCACAACAGCTTGTTTTCAAAGTGAGATGAGAGGAAGTAATTACCATGACCAGACAATGGTTTTGTCAGATATAGGCAAAGGAAAAGGCAGACACTATAAAATTATTTCATAGGAGCTGATCAGTCAGGAGAAAAGTTGTAACAGTGTATTTCATTATATTTATTTTCTTTGCAACAATCATGAAATTGCAGGCAACGAAGGAGAGGCAATGTACTCAGAATGAACTGGGTGGTATAAGGACTCTGTACTCTCTTTGTAAGTAAAAATAAACCATGAGATTTAAAGTTTAAGTTCCACTTTTTTAATCAGCATACACGTTCTGTTACTTAATATGCTGGCTGCTGTCCCACCCATAGATGTTCAGAAATGCTAATTTCATGTCAAAAACGTGGCTACCTACTGTGTAGCAATATAGGAGAAACAGCCCTTGGTTTCTGAGCAGAGATCTCTACTTTATGAGGAAATATCCTTAATTATTTTAGACCCATACTCTCTTTTTTCCTTGTAAGTCTCTAATTTTCCACATAAAAGTGTGAAATCTGTGAAGTGGAGATAAATGGAGATCCTTTTCCCCTGAAAAGTGTACGCTTTTACCTCTAAGCAAAACTCTGCTGGACAACGTACTCTGATTTTAAATGTGGAAAGATTTACATTTTTCTGGAGACTTTTGTGGGCAAATTCAATGCCAGGTTAGACTAGAGAGTGTGTGCTGTGACCGTTCAGTGGAATTGGCCTTTCATGCGTGTGGTGGCCACTTGATCCAGCTGAGCAGTCCAACTTGAGAACTCCTACTGGAAGTTATGCATAAAAAACCCTAAGAAAATAATTAATTCTTGCCTGCTATGGAAATCTGTGGTTACATTCAAAATACTAATTGTCAGGCTTCATGCAGTGAAAAAGTCCTTTGCTAAATTTGATATTTAAAATTGAAGTTGGTTTTATGTTTACCATCCCAGGGAAATAGTTCTGCTGCAAATGTGTCACCAACATTCCTCACAATTTAACTCCTAATATTAAAAGTAATTTAAAACTAAGCAAGGCAAATGCATTGATGCTTGCAAGAGGAAAGGTGCTGGATTTTCTTATGTTGAACTTTGGTTGGAATAGGATTTTTTCCATGCAAGTTTTGAGGACTGTAGGAAGACCACTAGCTAACCCTTACTCATAGTGCTAGACATGAAACAACGTTTATATGTAAGTTCTATGTCTCCCAAAAGATCTCATATAGTCTTGCTAAGAGAAGTTTGATGTGGCATATCTTTAAATTACATGAAACCTCAAAAAAACAAAATGAGAGTTATCCCCTGTAAGAAAAAAAGTTGATAGTTTAGCTTATTCTCTGTGCTAAATTTAGAAAGATTTGACACTATATGGTCAAAAATTATGTTTTTCTAATTCATATTATCTTGAATGTTTCTACTAAGTTAGCCATAACTGGCTCATTAAGCAGATTGCTCCAGTGTCTACTGTTCTTGCCATCACAAAATGTGTTCTTTTTAACAAATTGGATGTATCCTTTTATTGTAACTTTATCCTTCATTTTATTATTAGTATCCAAAAAAAATAGTGCCAGTTATGAAAATATTCGCTGTCTTATTGTATTACTCTTGAAATATTTACACAGTGTTAAGCCACGTATTCATCTCATTTCAGTATTGTTAGACTGCCCATTAAACATAGCATTAACAAGAGTAAATTCATCTGCTTAGGATGTGTTAACGTCCCCAAAGCAGGAGTTCCCTATTTCTGCCTGACTATTTTCAGCTTAGTGTTGGTATCATATTTAAACAGCTGCAAAGTTAGTTTAGCTTGGATAACTTTTAAAGGGAATTGGGTGGAAAAAAAAAAGGAGAGGAGGCTATTTCAAAGTTGTTTTGACTTAATGACCACTTTAATTCAATTGTTTTTACAGACAATAAACAGGACTGAAGAATGTCGGTCTGAAATCTTTGCCTTGAATGGAGAAACTTCACTGAACAAGAAGTTGGCTTCCAGTTTGCACAGGCGTCAAATGAATGCTTTTTTTTTCTACCTTTCCCAATGAAAACAAAACAGTGTTTTTATGTGCTGTGCAAATGGTTCCGTCATGTAGTCTGACAATTTTATTTTTGCTATTTTTTTTTTTTTTAACTACAGGAAAAACCCAGAGGAAAAACGCTGGGTTGACATTTCATCTGGACGAACATTTGAATTCAGAATTTACCTGGAGGCGTAGCTAGAATTTTTTTTTTTTCTTAAACAGAAAAACTGATGATGTCAAGAGGGAGCAAGTTGAGATGAAAACCAATTGTCTTCCTCAAAAATTAAGCTACTCTTTTTCTCTCATTTTATTTTTCTTCTTGTTTTAAATCTAGAGTGTTTTTTGTTTTTTTTGTTTCTTGTTTTTTTTTAAAGAAATGTTTAGGTAAGGTTTATCTTGAATCTTAATTGCCTTAATTTTAAGGACGTCAAAGGCTCTCAAAGCAAGCTGTCAACGTCTTGTTAGAAAACCCGAGAATGAATTGAAACTGCTCACACCGGTGCTGGTGCAGAAGTTTAATAGACTGAGTTTTTGGGGTGAACAAAAAATAAACTGTACAGTTTAAAAGAAAATGATTTTCTTCTTTTGAAGAAAAGTTGATGATAAAGGAACTGTGGCAACTGAAAGGATTGGAAAAATGCTGGGACTTTTATGAACTTTGTCTTAAGTGTTGACAGAAAAAATTCTAGAAGGCTAAAGCATTTTACAGTAAAGTTATTGAATTGAGAAAAAAACTTGCTGCATTATGGAGAATGCAGGAGTTTTTTCTTGCAGAATGCAGATTTTTTTATTTACAAAGCGTGATCGCTAGCAAAAGCATTAGTGCTTTTTATCTGCAGTCTTTTTTATGAGCTTTAAGAAGTTTTTAGTCTGCTTTGCTTGTCACATTGCAAAAACCTAGCTTAAGAGCATTAAAAAAAACTTAAGTAGATAGGAGCTTATGGTCAAAAAAGTGCAAAAAAAGCAATAGATAGAAGAAATTGTTGACAATTTCTGTAGTCTTTCCTAGTTGTGAACAAATGCAGCCTATGGATGGCCTATTTTATACCAAAGACGAAGTGACACCCT